GGACCAATGCCCACCGCGGCAGGGTGCCCACTCCTGGCCCCTGCCCACCTTGCAGCCCTCCTCTTCCTACGCGTCCTACGTGTTTGCATTCCCCACGTGAACAGCACCCATGGAATGGATCCGTCGTTGTCCCCATTTTACAGATGAGGAAACAGAGGCAGCACAGAGAGTCTTGGCCGGGGCCACACAGCTATAAGGTTATGGAGCCACCGTGTGGGGAGAAGGGCTGAGCAGCTGAGAAGGTGATTTGGGGAGAGCGCAATGTCTGTGGGTCATCACCAGCAGTCCTGCTGCGGGTGTACAATGTGAACGCCCTCTGTGTGCCCTGTGACCTCTTCCCGCTGCTCATCAGGGCTCGGGGATGAGTGGAGCCTTTGGGGCGGGTCTTGGGAGGGCCCGAGTGAGCTGCGTGGGGTACGTGTGTGTGGATACTGTGGGGGACAGCCCCCAGCTGGCTTCCCCACGGACAGCCCCCAGCTAGCGCTACCACACAGCAGCTGCTCATTCAGTGTGGACCCTTTTCTCCATCTGTCTCCTGCCCGCATGGGAGGCGGTCGCGTGGGGGCGCGGAGAAGGCCAGAGGCCCATGGGCAGCCCCTATCACAGCCCCTTGGCCCCAAGAGCATTCCGTCTCCCCTACCAGGGCTGGCCAGAAGACCGGGCTTTTCCAGAAGGAATTTCTGCGTGGGGAAGAAGGCCTCCTTTGCCATGAGCAATGAGTCTTCGGGCTTGGCCATGCCCTGGGGAGACAAGAAGCCAGGCTGAGAGGGCACGGTTGGCAGAAGGCTCTCAAGGGCAGCCTGCACGGCGGGGACAGTGGCGGGAACACTCACCTGGGGGAGGCTGCAGGTGCTGGAGGCCAGCTTCATGGCTTTCAGGATGCTGCCAGAGAAAGTGGAGAGAGTCCGAGGCCAGCCAAGCTCCCGGGGCTTGGGGAGAGGTCTTGAGAGGTACTTCCTCTAGCTCATCTTCCCTGATTGAGAACAACTGCCCCACCCCGTGGACCTTACATAACACTGGACCCGGAACAACACCAAGCCTTAAGTAGCAGGCTGTGAACTGCTTCCAATGATACCTGAAGGGGTGTTGCATTAACAAACTCCCACACTGGCCGGCCTGAGCTAATCTGATGCAAGCACCACCCCCCACCAGTTCCCGCATGGACCACGAGCCACCTTGCAAGTTCTTGGATAGATGGCTCTGGAGGGCAAAGAACCAAGTGTGGTTAAGTTCTGAGACCCAGGCTGCCATGGAGGAGAGACAAGGGTATCACCAAATGGGGTGTGGTGGGAGGGAGGAAGATCATGACCTTTGTCCAGGGCCTCTCCCCACCAAGAAAGAGGGCTGGGGGTGGTGGAGCCCCACTCTGCACAGTACCTCAGCTCTGTTTTAATTTCTTCATAGTCAGACTGCGCCTGGAGCTTCTCTTCCAGCTTCTAGAGGAGGAAACAAAGATGGTTTCAGGCTGGCCCACGTCCTTCTGCCTGGGGACGCCTCGCCCGTCTCCTGTCTGCACACCTCCTCTCCCAAGACCTACTTCTATGGCCTCGGACTTAGCCGTGAGCTGCCGCTCCAGGTCCGCGATCTGGTTGGCCGAGGTCTCCTCCAGCTCCTGCAGAGAGTTCTGGAGGTGCTGCACATCCTTCAGCAGCCGCAGGATCTCCCGATCCTTGGAGGCCAGCGCGGCTTCAAGCCGGGGGCCCGAGCACAACGCGAAGTTCACCTTATCCTGAGGACAAAGTGGGGCTTTGAGGGGCTAAGAGGTGTGGGGCAGGCAGCTGGAGGGCTGGCTTCCCCACCCCTGAATCCCAGACAAAACGGGAAATCCATCCGTGGCACGTTCTCCCTCCCACCCCCCGGTGCTGTGCTCCCCAGAGTGACTCAGCCCCTCCTTACAGGCTCTGGTTTTCCTCCTCCTATCTCTGAGCCTTTGCTCAAGCCACTCCTACCAGCCTGGATGCCTTCCCTCTAGTATTCAAACTGGTGGGGAGTGGGCAGGGAAGGTTTTCTGGAGGAAGATGTGTCTAAACTGTGATGAAGTTCAAGAACAAGTTAGTGATTTGGAAAATTGCTTGGCAGCGTCCACTAAGGGTGGACATGTGCACTTCTGCTTGGTACATATGTGTGGGGAAAGCAGGTACCGTGCACAAGAGACACGTGCGAACACCAAGACTAACATTCGTAGCAGCCCTCTCTGTAACAGCCCCAAGCTGGAAACCCTCCATTGGCTTCCAAATGCCCTCCAACGAGAGAATGGATGAGCAGGTCGTGGCACATCCATACAATGGAACACGCTACAGCACTGAAAATGGATAATCCACAACTACTGACACAGCATGGACTATGCTCTCAGATAGAATATGAAGTGAGGGGTGCCTGGGTGGCTCAGTCGTTAAGCATTTGCCTTCAG